GCATGCAGGGAGCAGCTCGGGGAGCCCGTGGGGACAGGTGGTGGCCGTGGCTGCAGAAGCCTCTCTGCACGTCGGGTGCCACGTGCCAGGGCGAGGTTGGGCCTCTGAACCAACCCTTCAAGGGCCCTGGGCCTTCCCTGTGCCAGCTGCAGGGCTCAGAGCACGTCCCACCTGTGCTGCCCACCCATGGCATGGCCCAGTGTGGGAGAAGCTGTCACCCCCCTGGTTAGGGACACACCAGTGCTGCTCTGTGAGCCTCAGCTGAGCCCATGCATCCTCCTGGGGACCATCAATTGTGGGATCCAGGAAAAATGTTGGTGCCATTGGGATCAGGGCTGTGGCTGCTGCCCAAGCGTGGCAGGTCTCATGCCAGGAAAATGCCATGCCCTGTGCCCTGCAGGGCTCCATGATCTGTCCTGCTACTGGGGTTCATTCAGGACTAGAAAATGTGCTGCAACATCAGCTCTTTGGAAGTTTTCCTCCTTCTCTTCTGTGCCACCAAGCACAATCTGAGGCTACCTTGGAATTCATTAAACCTGGCTACAACTTAGACACTTCCCTTCGGCCTTACTGGTTCCCACTTGGTGGCACAGCAGGCACCCCTCTGCAAAACAGGGCCCCCCTGTGTGGCACAGAGCACCCCAGGGCACCACACTGAGCTGGGCAGCAGAGCTGGAGCTGCACAGCCCTGCTTGTCCCCTCTGCACCCTCACCCCACTGCACCTCCTCCATCTGGGGACACTGACCTGTGCCCGAGCTGGGGACGAGCCCAGGGAATCCTGGCTCAGCTCTGTGCCAGCAGCTGGGGCAGCATCAGCCCTCGGACATCCCTGAGCGGAGCAAACACCACTGGGGGAGCAGCGAACACATGATCGGGAGAGCCGTGACCCGCCGTGGCTCACGCAGGGAGCCTTGGGCTTCTTCCCCCCTTGTTTCCCACCTTGTGCTTCCCCTCTTGTCCTTCCCCACCTTGTGCTTCCCCTCTTGTCCTTCCCCATCTTGTGCATCCCCACCTTGTGCTTCCCTTCCCCCCTTGTTTTTCCCACCTTGTGCTTCCCTTCCTTGTGCTTTCCCCCTTGTTCTTCCCTCCTTGTGCTTCCCCCCGTTTTTATTGGGGTCACTGCAGACAAGCCAGGCTCCGTGGTGGTGGCGTGTCCCTCTCCTCGCTGCAGTCCCTGTCCTGTGCGAGGCCAGGGCAGGTTTCCAGGGCTGGGGAGATGGATGTGCCGTGGCCCCCGTGGATTTAGAGCAGCCTTGTGCAAGCATGGGGGGTCACAGACCTTTAATAACCCATGCAAGATCCGGGGCACAGCCTTCCCTGAGGGATGCAGAGGGACAAGCCCACACAAACGCAGAAGGGGGAATAACACACCTAAACCCAGCTTAACTTTTGCACAAACTGCGTGCAAAGCTGGATTTTGCCAGGCCCCATCCCCATCCCATCCAGAGGGTCCGAGGATGCCGGGAGCCCACCGGCGATGCTGTCCCTGCCCCTGGGCTCCCCCAGCCACCCTCAGCATCCTCCGCGCACCGGGGAGGAGCCGGCGGCTCCAGGGCCGGCTTTGGGGCCGACGATTCCGCTCGGGGTGGGGCTGCCGGGGGTTGCGGAGCAGGGAAAACCCCGCCCGTAGGACCAGGGCCACGCAGCCAATAGGCAGAGCGGGGCGAGTGGAGTGATTCTGCATCACGGCCCGCGATTACATCATGTCAGTCCTGCGGGGATGGCGGCCCGGCCACGTGGGCGCTCCGGAGTCGCTGAGACGTTTTCCTGAGCTCAGGCTGGGAGGAAACCGCAGCATGAGAAAGAAAACAAACCG